GCCAGGGTTGGTGCTGGCAAACAGTGAGCTAGGAATTGGACAACAGAAGGAGTAAAGATTCTGCGGTGACTTTATCTGTGGTGATGGTGCAGATTTTTCAAGAGAGGATTAATAAACTAAGAACTTAAAAAAAAAAAAGGAAGAGCGCTTCTTTCTATCATCTATCTATCAGTGGTATGGATTCATGAATTCCTATTTTTTCAATGACTTATAATGGAATTATTATACTTAATTATTTTAGGGCTCAAATTATTCCAGAGTTGGCCAGTGAGGACATCTTCAGGATGGTTTCTGTTTCCTTATGACATGCCCTTATCATTTTTTTTAGCATTCTTCTAATTTCTGAAATAAGATATTCCAGATTCATCTTTTACCTACCTTCTACCCCAACCCTAGAATCAGCCATTTCTCCAAGGATCTCTGGCTTTTTTCAAGTGGGAAATGGTATTAGCCACCAAGATCTGGGTTGCTCAGTGTTCATTGCGATTTCAGTGTCTTTGCTTCCTAGACCTTTCAGCGAAGTTTATGTATACGTAAACTTACACATACAGATACATATACATGTTATATATGCACATAAGCGTGAATATATACATACCCATACATATTAGAAATTATGAGTTTATGTCGATACCTTCAATTTCAATCCATCCCCAAGGGTTCTTTCTTGTCTCCCCGTTTCATATTTCTGGAAGTGTAATTTCTGGAAGTGTAATTCTGGGTCCCCTTTTCCATAATGAAAAACCCTGGGTCCAAACCACATCAAAGCATTTACTCATTTGCTCAGTCTTTTTTTTTTTTTTTTTTTAGGAGTTTATTTATTTATTTGTCAGAGAGAGCGAGCACGCACAAGCCAGAGGAATGGCAGCAGAGGGAGAATCAGGCTCCCCGCTGAGCGAGGAACTCAATCCCAGGACCCTGGGATCATGACCTGAACCGAAGGCAGACACTTGACTGACTGAGCCACCCAGGCGTCCCTCATTTGCTCAGTCTTGAACTAATCTAAAATAATTTCAGAATTGCTTTACCCATGCTACAATAATAAATAAAATGACCTTAGAAATTTAAGATTTGTTTGCACTTCTTCCCCAATTATATCCTGCCATATCCCAGAGACTACATAGTCAAAACTAATTTAGTTTACTTAGATTAAATAATCTTAGCCCATTTATTAGATTAGTTCTTCTTTCCTTCCCACCCCAACCCACTTCAGTATGCTTACTGTATTCCTTCAGAATGTAAGTAAAGTTCATTTGGTTCCAGGTGGGGTATTTTTTTCATCAATAAAATTTAATTTTTTGAATATGTAAAACATTAATATGTTTTCAAAAGTCAAAACTATGCCAAAAGTTTCACTCAGAGAAATGCCATTCCTTCGGTGTCCCTACCACCCCATTTCCCCTACCCCATCCTTCGTAGGAAACAACTTTTTGGTTTTTGTTTTTTTCCTTCCTGTGTTTCTTCTTTTACTGATGAGCAGATATATGCATGTTTTCTTGTTTTCCCTTCTTTCTCACAAAAAAGATAGCATACTATATATGCTCCTTTGCACTTTGCTGTTTTTATTTAATATCCCCTGGAAATGACTCTGTATCAGTGAATAGAGATCTCCTTATTTGTTTGTATAGCTGCATAGAGTCCCACTGTGTGTATATAACCATAGTATATTAACCAATTTCCCATAGTTGAACATTTAGATAGTTCTCAGTTTTTGCAATTACAAATAATCCTGCAGTGAATAACCTTGTCATATATGTTTTCAGATTGTTGGAGGTGTATATTATGGATAAATTCATAGAAGTGTGATTGTGGGGTCAAAGGGCAAATGTATATGTTAAATTCCCCTCCACCAGACCTGGGCCATTTGCATTCCCACCCCAGCTCCCCATAGTGTGACTAATGGAGTGTATCGTCAGCCTCTGCATTTTTGGCGATCTGATGGGTGAGAAATGTTTTCACACTGTAGTTTTAAATTGCATTTACCTTGGAGCACCTGGGTAGCTCAGTTGGTTAAGCATCTGACCCTTGATTTACACTCAGGTAATGATCTCAGGGTTGTGAGATTGAGCCCCACATCATGCTCCACACTCAGCGTGGAGCTGCTTAAGATTCTCTCTCTCCCTCTCCCTCTGTCCCTCCCCCACCTCTAAAAAAATAAACTTTTTTTAAAAATTAAAAATTGCATTTATCTTATGAATAAAGTTGAACATCTTTTCATTTGTTTAGGGAATGTTTTTCTCTTTTTTCAAGATTTTATTTGTTTATTTGAGAGCGAGCATGAGCAGGGGGAGGGGCAGAGGGAGAAGCAGACTCCCCACCTATCAGGGAGCCCGACTCGGGGCTGAATCCCAGGACCCTGATATCATGACCTGAGCCAAAGTCAGACACTTAACCAACTGAGCCATCCAGGCACCCCTCATTTGTTTTATTTCTTAAATTCCATATACAAATGAAATCATGTGGCGTTTGTCTTTCTCTGACTGACTTATTTCTCTTAGCATTATACTGTCTACCTCCATCCATGTTTTTGCAAATGGCAAGATTTCATTCTTTTTATGGCTGAATGAGTTTCCATTCCATGTGAGATATATATATATCTTTATCCATTCATCTATCAATGGATGCTTGGGCTGCTTCCATAATTTGGCTGTTATAAATAACGCTGCAATAAACATCAGGGTGCATATATCCCTTTGAGTTAGTGTTTTTGTATTTTTGGGGTAAATACCCAGTAATGTGATTACTGAATCATAAGGTTATAGGGTAGCTCTATTTTTAACTTTTTGAGGAACCTCCATACTGTTTTCCACAGTGGCTGCACCAGTTTGCATTCCCACCAACAGTGCATGAGTGTTCCTTTTTCTCCACATCCTCACCATCGCTTACGATTCTTGTATTGTTGATTTTAGCCATCTGACAGGAGTGAAGTTATATTTCATTGTGGTTTTGATTTGCATTTCCCTGATGATGAGTGATATTGAGCATCTTCATGTGTCTGTTAGCCATCTGGATGTCTCTTCTGGAGAAATGTCTGTTCATGTCTTCTGCCCACTTTAATTGGATTATTCATATTTTGGGTGTTGAGTTTTATACATTCTTTATATATTTCGGATACTAACCCTTTATCTGTATGTCATTTACCAATATCTTCTCCCATTCTGTAAGTTGCCTTTTAGTTTTGTTGATTGTTTCCTTCACCATGCAGAAGCTTTTTATTTTGATGTAGTCCTAATAGTTTATTTTTGTTTTTGTTTCCCTTACCTCAGGAGACAAATCTATAAAAAGATCATAACAGCTGATGTCAGAGAAATTATTGCCTGTGCTCTCTTCTAGGATTTTTATGGTTTCGGGTCTCACATTTAGGTCTTTAATCCATTTTGAGTTTATTTTTGTGTATGGTGTAAGAAAGAGGTCCAGTTTCATTGTTTTACAAGGAGCTGTCCAGTTTTCCCAACACCATTTGTTGAAGAGACTCTCCTTTTCCCATTGCATATTCTTTCCTCCTTTGTCAAAAATTAATTGACCATATAATTGTGGGTTTATTTCTGGGTTTTCTGTTCTGTTCCATTGATCTATGTGTCTATTTTTGTGCCAGTATCATACCATTTTGATTACTTTAGCTTTGCGATATTCCCAGTTTTGTTTTTCAAGATTGCTTTGACTATTCAGGGTCTTTCATGGTTCCATACAAATTTTAGGATTGTTAATTCTAGTTCTGTAAAAAATGCTGTTGGTATTTTGATAGGGATTGCATTAAATGTGTAGATTGCTTTGGGTAGTATAGACATTTTAACAATATTTGTTCTTCCAATCCATGAATATGGAAGGTCTTTCCATTTTTTTGTGTCATCTTCAATTTCTTTCATCTGTGTTTTATGGTTTTCAGAGTATAGGTTTTTCACCTCTTTGGTTAGGTTCATTCCCAGGTATCTTATTGGTTTTGGCACAATTGTAAATGAGATTGATTCCTTAATTTCTCTCTTTGCTGCTTCATTATTAATGTATAGAAATGCAACAGGGGTGCTTGGGTGGCTCTTGATCTAAGCTCAGGTCTCAGTCTCAGGGTCGTGAGTTCAAGCTCTGCATTGGGCTCCACACCCAGTGTGGAACCTACATTTAAAAAAAATGCAGTAGATTTCTATACAATGATTCTGTATCCTGTGACTACTGAATTCATTCCATTTCCTGAATTTTTTAAAGCTCTTTATAAACTTGGTATGTTAGCTCTTTATCTGTGATATGTACTGTTAATATTTTCTCCCAGTTTTTTGGTCATGCAAAAGCATTTTATTATCATATAGTCAAATATATCAGTTTTTTCTTTTATTGCCTCTGGATTTTGAGGCATAGTTTTTTGGTTTGTTTTTTAAAAATTTATCTATTTGATGAGAGAGAGAGAGCACAAGTGGGGGAAGAGACTGAGGGAAAGGGAGAAGCAGGTTCCCCTCTGATCAGGGAGCCCAGTGTGGGGCTCAATCCCAGGACCCCAAGATCATGACCTGAGCCGAAGGCAGACGCTTAACCCACTGAGCCACCCAGGTGCCCTGAGGCATAGTTGTAAAAAATCCCCTCAACAGACATCTGCCAGGAATTTGGTTGTCATGATCAGTTTGCACATCCCCCTGCCCCCCACACACTTCCCAGGGCAAAAGTACTGGTTACCTTAATTCTTAAACAGCCACTTGGATATTTGGCTCACTCTGCCTATTTTGGGCAACTTTCTCCTCCTCATTTACAAAAGACCAGGTCTTGTAAGGAGAAGGAGGTATGAGGTGTCTGGGTAACAAGAGCACTCTTCTGAATGAGGGAATCCATCACCTAGGTCTTATTTAAGGAACACATGATCCCAGGGAACCAGTACCAGATCAGCCTTCCCACATGAGACCTACTCCTCCCATGGTCCCGTCCACACCCTGTCAGGTCCTGGATGAGGCAGTGTGTGAGGCAGAGGTCTGTGACCATCTCCTATCCTCTTGGCTCCCACTTCCTCCTCTCTGCAGGCCCCCAGCTGGGCTGGATGCAGAGTCTTGCAGATTCACCCTTGACCTTGGAGCAAAGGAATTCGGCTTGTGTTACCACTTGCCGGGAAATGGAAGGATCCTGAGCTGGATCAAACAACCGGCTCTTATTCCACCCCAAGGGTTTGAGCAAGGTGTGGAAGAGAACAGGCAGCTGAGCTGGCCTGTGTATCTTTACTGGTTTGTGGGAGATCGTAACATCTCCTTACCCACATGTGTTGGGATATCTCAGTTCCTCAGTCACTTGATTCTTACCTCCTTTCCCATTTCCTCTGCTTACTGTCTGGCCACCTGGAGCTCCAGCAGGCTGACTTGGCTTCAAGGGCAGGAGTGGGCCTGGGGTGTGGGGATTGGGGCAGCTGGAGAGGGGTGGGTGTGGCTCCAGGTTCCCACCCCGGGTCTGACCGCACTGGCTCCATCACAGTGAGGTCGGCCACCGGCGACGGAGATGCATTGTGTGTTACAGAAGAGGAGCTGGCTGGTGATGACGAGGACATGCCGACCTTCCCATGCACACCAGAGGGTAAGGGCCCTGGGGGCTGCCCTCTGATCTCCTTGTCCCCATCCCCAGGCTGGTGACTTATCGCTCCACATGGCTTCAAAATCCTGGCTGTCCTTTCTCCACTGCTCCCTGGAGGGTAGAAGGGCAGAGTTGCATCATCCTGGGTTATGCCGTGTAGATGATGTCAGAGTTTGACACAAGTGACATCTGTCTCCAGGGCTCCTCCTGAGACCAGTCAGGGACCTCTGCCATCTCCCCCAGGGCCTGTCCTCTAACTGGCCCAGAACTGTCCCTTTCACCATATCCCATGCCACCCAAGTGGCTCATGCCCTTGACCTTCAGGACCCACCTGATGGATAATGGATCATCTCAGAAACCAATGCCACCTGAACTGTTCCTTAGAGGAGGGTTTCTGGGTGGGTTTCAGGATAGACTAGCATAGCTATTCTCAACCCATGCTGTATATTGTAATCACCCCAGGAAGCCCGTGACCAGCCCTCAGAAATTCTGATTCCTTTTGGTCTGGAGTATGAAAGGGGCATCAGGAGTTTTAAACGTTCCCAGTACTCATAATGTGCAGCTAAAGTCAAATCTGCCTTAGAAATGTCACAACAGTTTCACAGTTGCATTCCCACTGGACCTTGGCCACCTGGCTTCCTTCTTCTTCCATACCAGGGACCAGCCGGTGGGCTGGAACCGTTCGTTCTGTTTCCAGGAGAACTCCTTGTCACCTGAGATGTTTGGGGGCTGAGGGGTTTCCCAGGGTGTATGACTGGTTGGCCCCATACTGAGGAATTCCACAATAGGAGATCTTTCGAGGCTAAAGCCCAGAATATCCTAGGCACAGTGGGACACATTATACACCCAATGGTGACACAGGCCAGCTGCCCCATGTTGTGGACCATCATAAGGCCAATGTGTCAGGAAGAGGTGTTTCCCTACACCTTGGGCCCACTGATGTTGCCCTAAGAGAGAGGATGGCACTGATGGGGGTGCTCTTTGAAGACCCCGACTCTGGTCTCTTCTATTGCTAAAAGCTCGAGGACCTAGAGAGAACATGGTGAGATGGGCAGACATGAGAATGGAGAACAACTCCCTTTCTGAGGCTGGTTTGAGAGGTGATGAGATAGGTCGGAGCGGGAACATGAACCTGGCCCTTCACCTGCAGCCTCAGCCACTGGTCTCCTTTGTCCCCCAACAGACCGGCCGGGGTCCCGCTGCAGCCGCTGCCAGAAGAACCTGTCTTTGCACACATCGGTGCGGATTCTTTACCTCTTCCTGGCCCTGCTCCTAGTGGCCGTGGCCGTGCTGGCCTCCCTGGGTGAGTGCAGGCGCCCCGCAGCCTCGGGGTAGGCCAGCATCTTTCTGGCTGGGGAATCTTCATACTTGATTCAGACTTCAAAGATGGGCCTCTGATTTCCAGTCCATAAGTAGTTGTGTGGCTTTGAGCAAGGCACTTCCCCTCTCGGGACCTTTGTTTTGCTACTGGTAAGATGAGAGGACAGGACCAGCCCCGTGTTTCCCCGTTTCAGCTCCACGTTAGAATCACCTGGGAGCTTTGAAAAAATACTGGTGCGTGGGCCCCACCCCAGGTAATGTACATCCAGGGCTGAGATCCCTGGATCGGGCAATTTCGAAGCCCCTTCCAATGGTCTTTGTGAGTGTTTCTCAAAGTGAGATTGGATGCCTGCCTGCATCAAGGTCACCCTGAGTATTTGTTAAAATGCGAATTCCTGAGTCTCACTTGGACCTCACTCGTTAGAGCGGAGCCCTGCAGGTGAAGGCCAGGGACCTGGAGTGTGGTGGCTGTCATACACAACACAGCTTGTACGGCTATGGTAGACAACCCAGGTGATGGCGCACAGCCAGGTTCGGGCAACCTCTGCCTTCTGAATGCTAATAGATCATGCTAAACGGAGGGAAATGAATTTGACGGCTTCTTGCTGCAGTCCCAAGCCAGTCAGCTTCAGATTGAAAAAATCCAGATGTCTTTACTAAGGGAGGCCAATAGTTTGTTTGTTCCAATGGACTAGACACTGGGGACAAGGCTGGGACACGGGTGAGACAAGTGAGGAATGGGGGCGGGGGGCGGGGATGCCTCAGTCTAGGAGGCACCTGGTCCCGGGCCTGGCTAGAGATATTCAGCAACTGTCTTTCTTGGCTTGAGGACAAGAGGCCGGCATGCTAATGACTAGAATAGACATTCTAGTCCTGTCCCAGCACTCCTGAAGGTTTTAACTAATCCAACAGAAGCCAAGAACTACTTTGTACCAGGTGATAGGAACATCAAGGTCCCTCCCATTTCACCATCAGAGAGAGCGGTTCTCCATTTTGTCTGGGGGATTCTAACCCTTCAAAGAGCATTGAAAATACTGATGCCAGAGCTCCTCCCTCCAGATGAGTGAGATCATAATCTCTGGGTAGGACCCTGGCCTTGCTAGTCTATAGAAGTCCCTCAGGTGATTCCAGTGTGCAGCCAGGTTTGAGGACCATTGATTCAAGAACTTTCCAAGCCCCTCACCCCATCCAGCCCCACTTCTTTCTACTAAATCACTTCACGGGGCTTGGCTTCTCAGAAAGGGGCCCAGATCCTGCCAGGGGAGGAGGGGGGAGCTGCTGTCCACCACTATGAGGTAGCAAACTGGACATCAGGGAACTTCCCAAGTCTGTTCCTGGCCAGGCCTTACAGGGCCTCAGCTCTCCACACCTGCAGGACCATGAATAAAGCTCCGGGAGCCACAGGCTTGAGCCCAGAGTGGAACACAGGCGCCGACCCGCTTCAGAGGGTATGGACAGTGATGGGGTGCCCACCAGGTGCCAGGTCCTATTGCATACATGATATCCATGAATCATCTCAATGAGCCCCGAAATGGGAGGCCGACCTCATTCCACATATCTGGGAAGGTGAAATGATTTGCCCTAAGATCCAGAGTGAAGGAGCAGAAGATCATAATTTGGGGGTGAGGAGTGCATTCGGGGCATCCAGGGAGAACTTTAGGCTTCCTTTTTGTTTTTGCCTCCAGCCTGGGTATCCCAAGTCCCTAGAGCAGAGCTGACACCATCCTGACCTGGTTGGTAGGTGCTCAATAATATTCGTCAAATGAATGACTAGAGATTTGTGAGTATATATGTGGACAGTCCTAGTCAAGGTATTATGGTCAGGACTGTGGATAAAGTCCAGAGGGTTGAGCAAAATCAGTCTTCCTCATAGGGACTTGGAAAATCCACTTATTTATTTAATTGGGTACCTGTTGCATGCATACTATAAGCCAAGAACTGTGTTAGGCACTGGGCATATACTGCTTAATAAAACATAAGCCTTGTCTTTATGGAGCTTATAATCTAGAGCAAGGTTTGGCAAACTTCCTGTAAAGGGCTAGGTAGTAAATATTTTAGGATTTACGGGCCACACGTGGTCTTTGTCAAAACCACTCTGCCATCGTAAAGCCAGAGACAATACGTAAATGAATGGAGATGGCTTTGTTCCAACAAAGTGACCCTGGGTTAGATTCGGCATGCAGATCCTGCTTTGCCAACCCTAGGTCTAGAGCAATAACCTATGAACTTTTTTTGACCGTGCACCCCATCAGTAAAAAGTTTGACTTAAAATGCATCAGGGGCATCTGGGTGGCTCAGTTGTTAAGCGTCTGCCTTCGGCTCGTGTCATGCTCCCGGGGTGCTGGGATCGAGCCCCGCATCAGGCTCCCTGCTCGGCGGGGAGCCTGCTTCTCCCCCTCCCACTCCCCCTGCTTGTGTTCCCTCTCTCACTGTCTTTCTCTGTCAAATAAATAAATAAAATTTTTAAGAAAAAATAAAATAAAATACATCAAAAAATTAGATGGGTTGATGAATGGATAAAAAGATAAACTGGACAGATGTACAAGAAAGTAAATACAGTAAAATGTGAATTATAGAATGTAGACAGCAGATACATTTCTACCTACTACCTACCTACAAGTAGCATAGTCACTGTCCAAGCCTTGATTACTGTGTTTGAAAATTTTTATACTTACATATTAGGAAAGAAAAAAATGATCATCTCACACCTGTAAAATATACCTATTTATTTATAAATTATATATGTGTACTTTTTTAGTATACATTATAAGACATAATTGTGAAAGGATGAGAAAAAAATAAGATCTAAAAAGTAAGGAAAACAGTAAACAAGTTAATATGTGATTACAAATCTTGAAATGCACAATGAAGAAATGAACAGGGTGAATTACATGAATGAGCCCTTGGCTATTGGCTTGGACGTAGACTTTATAAAGTATTAGGATAGGAATCCAAGTCACTCAGTCTCTCTACACCTCTGTTCCCCCCATCTACATAAGCAATTTTAATTTGGGGAAGGCTCAAATGGAATAACAAATACTATAAACTCTAGGGAACTGTTCCTAGGATCTCTCAACATGTCACTGCTAGTATTTAAGTCTCCACAGCTCTGAGATGTACAATGTTAATTAAAGGCCAGAGATTCCAAAAAAAAATGGAATTTTGGAGCTAAGAAGAACATTAGAAGTCATCTTGCTTCATACTTTCCTTCTACAGATGATTCAGTCAAGCTGCAGAAAGACTAACTGACTTGCCTGAAGATACCCAACAAATCGGGGGCAAATGTGGACCAGAAGTTGCATTCCCTAACTCTCTTGTTGGGGCTCTTTCCATCCCCCGGACCTTGCCTTCACAGGCTCTGTGGGAAGCATCTTGTCTACCCCGTCCTCTCCTCTCACTTCCCCATCCAGCCAGGCATTTGCTAGAGAAAGCCAGCGATCCTGCTGCTGCCCAGATGTGCTCTAACCCCTGGCCAGCACTGACCCCTGAGAAGCTGGTATAAGCTGGTAAAATCTTTCCTAGGGGTCACTTTGGAACCATGTGTCCAACTTCAAAAATATTAATACGCTTCGACCCATTAATTCTACTTCAAGCAATTTATCCTAAGAGAATAACCATATACACACAACCATCAAATATAAGGATTATTTCTAGGAACAAGTGTTACTCATATTTACATGTCAAGTTTTATTTGTAGGCTCAGAAGGGTCCCCCCACCGCAGGGGATTTTTATATAATTGCTGCGTCGTTTATATAGAGTATGATACAGACATTAAAATTAATGATCTTAAAAGTGATTTAAACCTCAATAGGAAAACATCCATGACATGATACCAGTGAAGCAAAATGAAAGAAAATAAATGAGATATTCCAAACATTCCAGGTTTCTGTTATTGTTTTCTAAAATAGTATACATATATCCATGTAACTACAGAGTGGTTATGGAGATAAGTAAGAGTCTAAGAAATACACGAAGATATTGATGGCTATTATCTCTCAGTGGTAGGATTAAGAATAATTTTTATATTCTTTTTGTGCTTTTTTTCCCCTTAATTTTCCCTATTCTAGTTTAGCCTGTGGTCAGGTCCTAGTTTTAAAATCTGGAGGGGGATATATATGTACACACACACACACACACACATACACATATATACACACAAGTGTATGTATACATACATGTAAACACTTAAGGGAGATATATAAAGAGATATAGATCTACCTAGATCTACAGATAGATGTAGATATATATTTTTAAGGAATGCATGACAAACTCTGGCCATAAGAAGCATCTTCCCTTACCACCACTGAAAAGCCCCATAGAAGGGTGAACGGTTTTGATGGCATAGAGGTTGGTAAAAATAACTTCTTAGTAAATGATTGCCGTTTCTCTGAACTAAGACCCTGCCCCAGTTTCTCATCTGTTTTCCCATACAGTTTTCAGGAAAGTGGACTCTCTCTCAGAAGACATCTCCCTGGCCCAGGCCATTTATGACAAGAAGCTTATGTCTATGCAGGAAAATCTCCAAGGACTGGGTAAGTGTCCAGTATCCAGGTGTGCTCATGAGTATGAAGGAAGACCAGTATTAATGGGGGAGGGGTAAGTGTCCCCCTCAGGCCATGGTGCCCTGGAGTAGGGCAGCCTTCACCAACCTTCCAGGCACAAGGGAAAGGCAGCTATGGCTCCCTTCCTCCCTGTCCACTCAGAGAGGGCTGCTGCCCTGGGATTCACCCAGCACTGGGGTCAGGGCTTCTGTGAGTGGTACGGATCTAGCCGGAGCCTACAGGTAGAGAAGGAACCCAAAGACACTCTATTCCTCAGTCATTCTTATGTATCTGAGATTATTATTATTTTTTAAAGATTTATGTATTTATTTGAGAAAGAAAGTGCAAGTGCAAGCAGGGGGAGGGGCAGAGAGAGAGAGAGACAAGCAGACTCCCCCTGAGCAGGGAGCCTAAGCCAGGACTTGATCCCAGGACCCTGAGATCATAACCTGAGCCAAAATCAAGAGTCACACTCTTAACCGACTGAGCCATCCAGCCACCCAGAAATTATTTTTAAGATCTTCCAAAGCCTCTTGGTAAGTCTACCCTACCCTACCCTACCCTACCCTACCAATTCATAATCCTCTTTATCTCCTGCTTTAACCAGGGACCTTCTCGTTCTGAGACTGAGACAGAAGGAGCCACAATAGAAAGTGTAGAGGTGGCCTGCCCTGACAAAAAGAGAAACTACTAGCTGAGTGATATTTGGCAAGCCTCTTCTCTGTGCCTCATTTCTTGACTGTCACAGGGAGAAATAATCCCCACACCATCTTTTCCCCATAAGTTTATCGATAACAAATGTAAAAATATTTGGAGAAATACTTAGATAAAGTGTAAATGGGTGGTTCTTGGCAACCTTAGGAAGTTGTGAAGATATATTCTCGAGAATTTGGTGGCGAGATGGAAAAAAATGTCCCCACTTCTACATTTCAGGTCAGAGTAAAGACATTTGGTAAAATAATATTTCATAGAGATGGTAAGGCTTTCCCAAAAAGGATTTCCTAGCAGGCCTAGGATAGGAAGAGGGATTGGGAAGCCATTTGACAATCCATTATGCTCTGAAATAGGTAAAGGAGTCAAGTTTTGTCCTATGATCCTTCTGCAACTCAAAATGTTGTCTCTTTCCCCTGAAGATCTGAAAGCCCCAAACAACTGTTCCTTCTGCCACGAGGCTGGGCAGCTGGAGCAAGAGATCAGAAAACTGCAGGAGGAGCTGGAGGGAATTCAGAAGATGCTTCTGGCCCAGGAGGTGCAACTGGACCAGACCTCTCAGACCCACGAGTTGCTCTCCACCACCAGCAGTCAGATCTCCCAGGAGATGGGCAGTTGTTCATTCTCCATCCACCAAGTCAACCAGTCTCTGGGGCTCTTTCTTGCCCAGGTGAGAGGCTGGCAGGCCACCACAGCCGGCCTGGACCTCTCTCTGAAGGACCTCACCCAGGACTGCTATGATGTCAAGGCTACAGTCCACCAGATCAACTTCACCGTGGGGCAGACTTCGGAGTGGATCCACGGGATCCGGCGGAAGACTGACGAGGAGACCCTGACCCTCCAGAAGATTGTCACCGACTGGCAAAACTACACCCGGCTCTTCAGCACCCTGCGCACCACCTCAGCCAAGACCGGAGAAGCGGTCAAGAACATCCAGGCCACCCTGGGGGTCTCCTCCCAGCGCATCAGCCAGAATGCCGAGAGCATGCACGACTTGGTGCTGCAGGTCATGGGCCTGCAGCTGCAGCTGGATAACATTTCATCCTTCCTGGACGACCATGAAGAGAACATGCACGATCTGCAATACCACACCCGCTATGCCCAGAACCGCACGGTGGAGAGGTTCGAGACACTAGAAGGACGCATGACTTCTCATGAGATTGAGATCAGCACCATCTTCACCAACATCAATGCCACCGACAACCACGTGCACAGCATGCTCAAGTACCTGGACGATGTGAGGCTCTCCTGCACGCTGGGCTTCCACACCCATGCTGAGGAGCTCTACTACCTGAATAAGTCTGTCTCCCTCATGCTGGGCACCACAGACCTGCTCCGGGAGCACTTCAGCCTGCTCAGTGCGCGGCTGGACTTCAACGTCCGCAACCTCTCCATGATCGTGGAGGAGATGAAGGCTGTGGACACGCAGCATGGAGAAATCCTTCAAAACGTCACCATCCTAAGAGGTAAGAGCCAGACTTGGGCCACACCTGCTATGGAACTCTCAGAGGGCTGTGCTGATCTTGCCCGATGCAGAAGTACCTGGTTTCAGGCAAAAGTCTTGGTAGGCTCAAGCAATTCTGTCGCAGATGCCTAGGGCAACTGGAAGCTTTAAAACACAGTTGCTCCCCTTTATCTGTGGTTTCAATTTTCTCCTAATGAGGTATCCCCAGAAGGTCAATAGTAGCCTAATGCTATGTCACAACGGCTGCATCCTTCACCTCACTTCATCTCATCACTTAGGCATTTTATCATCTTAGGTCATCACAAGAAGGGCAAATGCACTACCATAGATATTTTGAGAGAGAGCAAGACAACATTCACGAAATGCCTAATTTATGTATTAAACTTTATATAGGTAAGTATATATAGGAAAAAGCAGGCTATATAGGGGGGTCTTGGAACATATCCGTCACGGATAAGGGAGGTCTACTGTACCTACAAACCTCTTTTGTAAGGGTGCTATGACTCATAACTTTGCCTGCCATACAAAACTGGATTTTTGTACGTGGATTTGTTTGATTGGGTCCACACAGAGAAATAGAGAGACCTCATCTTGGAAACTCTGTTTTCTCATTTTCTCCCTTCCACCCCATCACTGGGGTGCTCAGCCACCTGCCCCTTGGGATGTTCATTACTCTGATGCTCTCTTCTCCTCTCATCTCACCCCTGCATTAGTCAGGGTTCTCCAGAAAAACAGAACCAATAAGAGAGAGAGAGAGAAATTATTTAAAAAATTTTCTCATGTAATTAGGGAGGCTGGCAAGTCCAAAATCTGCTCAACTGATGTTCCAGTTTGAGTCGGAAGGTCAGATGCTGCTGTAGAACAGGAAGAGATGATGGGGAGTTTGAAGGCCATCAGGCAGGAGAATTCTCTTTTACTTATGGGAGGGTCAGTCTTTGGTGCTATTCAGGTCTTCAACTGATTAGATGAGGCCCACCACATTGAGGAGAACAATCTGCTTTACTCAGTACCAGTTTAAATGTTAGTCTCATCCATAAACGCTCCTACAGACACACCCAGAATAATGTTTGGCCAAATGTCTGGCCACTTGGTGGTCCAGTCAAGTTGACACATAAAATTAACCATCACAAGTCAACTTGGCACCCATACACATCTCCTTAAATAATACTTAATCCCCAAAAGGAGATACTAACAAGGTTACAGTTCTGCCTAATGCTCATGATGCAAGTATCCTGTGTACAACCAAAACCACACTAACCCCTTCCCCAGAAGAGAAGGTAAAATCCTTGAGGGATATTTACTTTTCCCTTTGATATCTCATAATTTATATACTATGACATAAAGTTAACAATACTGTGATATAAAGTCAATATATTTTATGTTCTATGTTACATGATAAGGGGATAAGAGAGGGAAGAAAGCAAAAATACTATATATGTATATATATATATTTATTTATTTATAACACAACAAGGAGGAAATACTCTTGACAAGGAGTACATGGTCATAGCTGGTATCTATAACTTCCTCCTTCCACTACCCATCTGTATTTTCTTTTCCTTTGGCAAGCACCTCAGCTGGTTGTTATTCTTTACCTGGTAGGGTGATCCAAACCTTCATTCCCAATCTAGGGTCCTTCTTAGATTGGACCGGGCTATTGTAGTTTTCCACTGAATTTATTTCAGGGCATGGTAGCACCGAGAGACACTCTTCGGGATCTTCTGAATTCCAGACATGCTCTCCCTTACCTCCGTTTTAGAGTAGTGGTCCAGTTTCTCCTTGGTAGTCAGGATCAGTCACCTCAGTCAGCACAATAACTTCTTCTTTGCCTATTAATTCAGAGGCGTGAGAAGCCCAAAGTGACTAGGCAGCAGTCTTAACTTCCAGTTCAATGGAGTCATTGTTGTATCTCCTGGCAGAAACATTCCTTCCTTTGGAACAAAGATCTCTAAGCCAGCAGAGCATAAGATTGTGGGGATAAGAAGCAAACATTTTGCTAGTGGGTCACTAGGGGTGATAGTGGGTGGTGTCTTTCCCATCTCCACCCCTTGATCCCAGTTCCAGTGAATCCTGGCTATCAGAGGAACAGCACCATATATACTGGATACTGATTCAGACCATATACAGCCCTGCAAGATATGGCCACCTAGCTATAGCACTGGAACTGGGTCTTCAAAGGCCATTTCAATCTTCTGTCAAGCCAGCTGTTTCAAGATGGTGGGGACCATGGTAACACCAGGGAATTCCATGATCATGGGCCCATTGTTGAACTTCATTTGCTGTGAAGTGATTTCCTTGATCAGAAGCAATGCTACACTGGAATACCATGGAATACCACGATGGTGGATAATGCATTCTGTACGGTATTTTTTGGCACAAGCACTTCATGCAGGGAAGGCAAATGCATATCCAGAGTAAGTTTCTATTCCATCAGGAACAAAACATTGCCTCTTCCATGATGGAAGTGGTCCAGTGTAATTAACCTGCCACTAGGTAGCTGGCTGATCACCCTGTGGAATGGTGCCATACTGGGGATTTGTTGGTGGTCTCTGCAGTTGAAGATTAGGCACTTGGCAGTAGCCATAGCCAGGTTGGCCTTGGTGACTGGAAGTCCATGTCGCTGACCCCATGCACAAAATCCATCCCTGTCATCGTGGCCACTTTGTTCATGAGCCCATTGGGCGGTGACAGGGGTGACAGAAGGCTGACTGGTATCCCACAGAATAGGTCATGCTATATCCACTTGACTATTAGAATCCTCCTCTCCTGAGCTCACCCTTTGGAGAACATTCACAGAGGACACAAATGTCTTCACATTTTTTTTTGCCCCTACAGAGAGGACTCGCCACATACCTCTTCCCCAAATTTTCTTGTGACCAGTTTTCCAATTGTGTTTCTTCTAAGTCCCTGACCATCCAGCCAAACCATTGGCCACAGCCCATGAAGCAGGTTATAATCACACATCTGATAATTTCTTCTTCCAAGCAAGCACGACGGCCAGGTACACTGCCAGAAGTTCTGCCCTTTGGGAAGGGTTCAGTCACCACTGTCCTTCAGGGAAGTCCCTTCAAGTTGTAATGTAGCACCTGTCCACTTTCAAGTGATGCCTGCATATCATGCAGAACCAATTGTAAACTAGGTCAGAATCTTCTCTTCCTCTGTCAGCTGGTTGTTGGTAACTCCCCATAATACCGTAGGTGCAGGCTGGGAGAGGAGGTAGTATAGTAGGAGTGGGGACCATGGGTATTTGGGCCACTTTATCCTGTAACTTACTTGTGCATTCAGGGCCTACTCAGGCCTGATTACATATATACCACTTCCATGGGATTATGGAATGTGGCTCTGTATGCCCAGCTTTATAACTTGGTGGGTCAGAAAGTACCCAGTTCAAGATGGGCAGCTCAGGTCTCATGGTAATTAGATGGTCCTTGGCTAGCATCTAGTCTCTACCCAAGCCCTATAATAGCCCATGAGCTGTTTCTCAAAAGGAGAGTGGTGATCCACAGAGGATGGCATGGCTTTGCTCCAAAATCCTAAGGGTCTCTAGTGCAATTCACTTATAGGGATCTGCCAAATGCCCTAAACATCCCTATCTGCCACCGCCACTTTAAGCACCATTGGGTCTGCTGGATCATATGGCCCAAGTGGCAAAGCAGCTTAACCAGCAGTCTGGACCTGTTTCAGGGCCTTCTCTTGTCGTGGGTCCCACTCAAAACCAGCATGCTTTGAGATCACTCAGTAAATGGGCTGCAGTAACACACCCAAGTGAGGAATGTGTATGTTGCCTCCAAAATCCAAAGAGGCCCACTAGGTGTGCCTCTTTTTTAATTGTAGGGGGGGCCAAATGGAACAGGTTATTCTTCACCTTAGAAGGGATATCTCAACATGCCCACATCACTGGACCACTAAAAATTTCACTGAGGTAAAAGGCCCTTGAATTTTTTTTTTTTAATTTATTTGAGAGAGAGAGAGAGAGAGCATGAGTGGAGAGAGGGAGAAGGGGGCTCCCTGCTCAGCAGGGAGCCCAATGCAGGGCTCCATCCCAGGACCCTGAGATCATGACCTGAGCCGAAGGCAGACGCTTAACCAACTGAGCCACCCAGGCGCCCCAAAGACCCTTGAATTTTTGTCGTATTTATGTCCCCTGCTCTGACACATAAATGTCTCACAAAGAGCGAGCTACTACTTACTCGCTCGCTAGGTTCAATCAGTATAATATCATCAATGTAGTGCAAAGGAGAACAAGTTCCCTATGAACTGAAGTATGACATAGAGCTGGAGCATTGAGATCCCCTGAGGCAGGAGAGTGAAGGTGTATTGCTGGTCTTGCCAGCTGGAAGCAAACTGCTTCTGGTGGGCCTTATGAACAGGTATGGACAAAAAAGCATTTCCCAAATAAATAGCTGCATCCGGGGGATGTGTTAATTTTCTCAAGCAATGAAGCTGCCCCTGGTACAGCAGCTACAGTTGGAATCCCAACCTGGTTCAGCTTATGAAAATCCACTGTCATTCGCCAAGGTCCACCTGTCCTCTGCACTGGACACATTGGCAAATTTCAAGTTCTTGGTGGGGGCACTAATCTCTGCAGTCCCTCCAGGAATGCAGGATTGCATTCAGTTAACTATTTTCCTAGGTAGAGTCAGTGCCTCTTGGCCTTTTCCACCATAATACCCCTTACTCAACAGATCAGGGAACCAATGTGAGATTCTGCCAGCTTCTTAGTATATCTGTTCCAATTATCCATTCCAGAACTGGGAAAACAACTACAGGGTGGATTCAGGGACCACCTGGGCCTCCTGTGAGATGGACCTCAGTTAAAACCCCATTGATTACCTGACCTCCATAAGCCCCTACTCTGACTGGAGGACCGCAGTGGTGTTTGGGTCTCCTGGAATCAGTGTCCGCTCAGAGCCAGTATCTAGCAGTCCCCCAAAGGGATGATTACTTTTCCCCAGTGTACAGTTATCCTGATAAAAAGCTGTAGGTCCTTTTGGGGAAGGC